TTTAGCCATTTTTTACCTTGTCAAAAGATTTTTTTTTTTTTATCTTTTTTATAATTTTTCCTTTTTTTTTTTCTCTCTTTTTTTTTTTTTTTTTTTTTTTTTTTTTTTTTTTTTTTTGTTATCAATATCGGACTGCCAAAAAATATGTTCCGGCAAATTAGTTCGAATTTATCCTATTATTTAACTATATTTAGGCATCGTTACATTTGATTCTTATTTTCTTTCCCAAAATATTAATTTATTTTAATGATGTGACACAATATTGTCATTAACATATCAGATATGTGATAAAACTGACACACGGATGCTGTGTCAGCAAATAAAGTGATTTCCCTAATTTATCAATAAATAAAATATTATTCGAAGTTAAAACTTTGTTCCGGATACATGTCACCCGGTAAACCATGAATTAAAATAGATAATTTATGTTATACCAAGATATATATTATCCAGAATTAATTATCAATTTATTTTATCAAAAATTCTGAAGGACCAATCCATAGTAATTGATTTTGTGTATTGTCATACTTTACGCCTAATGAATTTCCAGGTTTGGAATGATGTCTTTGTAAATACTGTCATGTGTTAAGAAAGATTTCAAAACAACAATTAATGTAAGAATATTCGTTCGCTATAAAACTCAAGTCACGTGAAATGACCCAACTCGGAATTATACTGAATTTTTTCTTACTTTTAATAAATCACTTTAAGGAAAGTAAATTTTATATTCTAATAAATTATACATTTTAACTTATAAATGAATATAAAATCATATTTGTGGCATTATAGTTAAGTCTCAAATATGAAAATAATTATTATTGAATTTATAATAACAATATAAAAAAAGCATTTCATTTTCATGTCTAAAAATTTTATTGCTTTGACGAAAGCCCTTTTTTATAGTTCTCAGACATTGCTGTAAATTTTAAGATTTTGCACTCCAACATATACGCCTCTGCTAGTTTATACTTTTTAAAACAACGTAAATTCTTTTTTAAAAAGTATGATTAATAATATCATAAGTAGGGATTGGAATCGATTTCGATATTTAGAATCGATTTAATCGCGATTATCGTTTCTCCAAGATTCGACTCTAAGATTCGATTTTCGATTTTCGATTAATCGATCGATCCATGCTTGAAGAACACCCTAAATAAATTAAATCCGAAAATAAAAATAAAATAGGAGATTTATACTGTATATATGCAAATTAAAAAATATTAAAAAAAAAAAAATTTAGTTAAAAAAATTGGGAATATTAAAAATTAAATTAAATCAAAATTTGAAAATTAAAATTATTAAAATAAGTTTTCAAAAATAAATCAAGTATAAAAATTAATTTAAAAAAAATATTAAAACCCTTGTTTATAAAAAATAATTAAAAAAAAAAAAATCGCGATGTTAAACCCGATTTTGAACCGAAGCCAGGTTAGCCAACAATTTAAATCTAACTCAGGCCCGTCCTAAGATTTATTTTACTTTTTTTTAATACGATTCTTTGTGTAGTTGGTTATTAGTCAAGTCTATATGGAGACAATATAAAGGTTGAAAGTATGAAGATGGAATTTATTATTTCGATTTCGGCGTCTTTCTCAAGACACATTATCTTCAAAGCGGATTTTCAAGGTTTATATACAATTCCCTATGAAAATATATAATCCATTTTACGTACAGTAAATATTCATCGTATAATGCTCATAATGATCGTTCATTAAATATATATGTTATGTCCATATTTTAAATATTAAAAATACATAATAATGAGTCTAATACAAATTATGACTTTAAATTTTCGTGGATTTTGTATTATATTTGTCTAAATCATTTATAATTTGTACTGTACATAAATTATTTATAAAATATATATAAATTATATTATTTGTGCATAAATTATTTATATTAAATGTATTTATTAAACTTATTATGCGTATATAAATTATTTTTTAAACGTATATAAAAACCTATCATTAATTAATAATATAACATTATTATTTTTTTTAAGCTGCTATATCTTTCTTTTTGTTATATCATTATTTTTTGACAAATTTTACGAAACCTTCTTTTTCAATTTCATTATTATTGGATCTGGAATTTTTAGTCTAAGATCTGTGAAGTGCAGCCTGCCTTGGCTTCAAATAACTTTTCTAATATTATTGTTAAAATTATTTAAATAACAGATGGGCATTTGATTAATTGAAGAAACAATTTACTTCGCAACATTTTTGGGTGAGTGGAATTCATTAGACTTGTTATTAAAGCCAGTAGGGCTGTTGTACCCCAAATGCGTTAATGTCTGAAATGCGCATTTGGGATATCCGAAATGTGCATTTGAGACATTATCCGAAACGTGCATTTGAGACATTGTCCAAAATGCGCATTTAGTATATCCAAAATGTGCATTTGGGACATTATCTGAAATGCGCATTTGAGATATCCAAAATGCGCATTTGAGATATCCAAAATGTGCATTTGAGACATTATCCGAAACATACATTTGGGATATTGTCCGAAATACGCATTTGGAGCAAGCGAATATTCCAAATGATCTTTGCATTTGGGATATCCCAAATGCGCGTTTCAGACATCAACGCATTTAGGATACAACAGGGCCACTTTCAGAAAGATTTAACACTTGGCTTTCCATATTAAGTAATGATGTACCATAACTTTCGTTTGTTTTAGTATCTGAATTGACCACTTTTTATTTTTCTTTTCTTGCTTCAGAAAGCATTTTTTCCCATTTTTTCATAAGTTCTTCAATTTGTTAATTAATATTTTGAAAATCGTCTATTACATTTAAATAGAATTAATTTATTAAATACAATAAATTAAAATATTGAAATTTAAAAATAAATATAAATTTGAACTTGCAGAATTTTCAACAGGACTTTTATGATCGTTTCGAGTATAATTTCTTTTATGCTTAAATACTTGATTGGATTCTATTGTATATATATTATAAACACAATATTTTACTAATAAAAAAAATTATGATGTGTAACTGTATACCTTTCATTTTAGAATTATTATCAGGTTTTTTAGTTAGATAACAGTTATTATCTATAGAAAATTATTAACTTAATAAATATATCAAATTAATTTGATACTTATTGAATACTATGATTTATATTTATCTTGCGACGTATAAGGTATACTAAAGGCCAATCTCCAATACAAGGTGGAAAAGTTGGGTTATTCTTCTTAAATTTTCGAATAATACCTGCTCTAATTTTTTTATCAAAATTCTTGTATTGAACTTCAGTAGAAGTATGATGCTCAATAATATTAAAAAAGGTAGTCTAGAAATACAAAAAATTATAATTATTAAAGAATCAATTTTAAAAAGTTTATATTAAAATTATTTATCCTATAACTTTTATATACACTTTCTTCCATCTTTAATTTTAAGTGTAAATCCATAAATTAACCTAATCCTGTAGATGATTTTGAAATTAGTTTTGTAACTGAATGATCTTTACTATGTTAATCATCCTTAAAAATGTAACATATCAGTATATTAGAAAGTACAAATTATAAAAATTATAAATACAAGTTATATTTAAAATTTATCACTATATCCTTTGTATTCTCTGCATCTTCTAACTTCTATTCAAAACTTGATGATTTTAAGCTAGATTGATGTTTCATTGATAATTTTTGGGATATAATATATGTTTTTATATCTCTTTGAATATTTTTATCCTTCTCTCTCAGTTCTCTAGCACTTTTATTTTATTTGCTTTATCTTTTAAATTTTTATTTTCTTTTTCTAAAGCAGTAACGCAAGTTAAAATAAATGATAATACTTTTTCATTTACCTTCATTTGTATACTACATAATTTTTGAAATTATTAATAATAAAATTATTATCACTATCATTTTTGAAAACTAAACTCTGAGAGCTTTTAGTAGAGTTTAGAACCAATATTCAGCATTCGAATATAAATCCAGTTTCTTCCGATTTGAATTTACATTTTATCGAATATAATAAATCTGGTTCCTTCATTCATCCAGATATCATAATCCAGTTCCTTCATTTTATCTAGATATAATAAATTCAGTTTCTTCGTTTCATTCGTATATAATAAATCCAGTTCCTTTATTTCATTCGAATATAAATTTAATTTATTTATTTATTATAATTAACTGACAATATTTTTAATGTACTGCATTATATTTATACGTTTTTAAATAAAGTACCAAAAAATTAGATTCGTAATTATAGGAATCTACAAGAAATTCAATTTGGAAATATTTCATCACTAAGGATTATAAAACTTTTTTTGCGGGATTAATGAAGTCCTACATTTAAGTATTTTAAAATATATAATTATTAAGAGAATTTATATTTAAACCATTTTATTAAACTATAT